CTCTGACAGCAATCCACCGTCAAGTTCGGTGTGTTCCTCTGCTTTCACCTGTCGCTCTCTGTAAACACCACCGTGCCGTCCGAGAAAAAAGAAACACAGACAGCTACTGACGGACTAGTGCTTACGTGTTCCAGGTTGGCTAGGGTGTTAGGTGCTAATTCGCCGGCCCCAGTAGTTCTTACTAACCAGCTGTGAGCAGTCAGAATGTCACCGAGCTTCTACAAACCAACATTTTGCAAAGCACAGAAATATTTCGCTGTGCAACTTTCTGATGAGACCCAGCCTTCTGTAATTATTCCAATTTTGGATTCAACCTACATTCTACCTGGATGAACCGAACCTACACCGTCTGTCTGTTTGTGTGTGTATGACCGTGCTTGTTTTAAATACATACTTTATGAGTGTCCTGCAGTGAAGCAGCTGACTCCGCAGAACATCTCATTTGTCCGACTGGCAGCAGAATCATTGCTTACACACACACACACACACACACACACTCCACACCCCCTCTCTTCTTTTACTACAGTGTGACTTTTAAACACACCCGACTTGCTGGCTGGTAATGTTGTTGCTAGGCAACCGTCTGCCGTTGCTAAGCGAACCATTAATGAGAATGTAGAATATAACCCTGCTCGCCTGCTGGTGTATGCCTCTGTGTGTGTGTGTGTGTGCTGTTACAGGAGTTCATGAGGGTCACTATAACAACTGACCAAAAGGTGATTTAATTAGGGGAACAGAGAGCTTCTATGTGACTGTAACAGGAAAAGCCTCAACACACCCTGCCAACCACTGTTGGGACACTCAGTAAAGGTACAGAGGTCATGTCATTTTGATTAAATCTCCAACTGAAAACCTGGTTCAACCCTTTTGATTCTGCAAGACAGCTGTTTCAGTTAGGCAGTATATCCACAGTAACACACACAGAGTCACTTGTTTCTAATTCACACAGGAAAATGCTCACATGCGCCAATGCACACTGACATTTTGGGCGTTAGATAGAACTACAATATAAAAATGACACAAATTGTCTGTCAATTGGGTATTTTGTCATTAAGTCCTATTAAGTTGGTGGTTAACGGCGCCTCCTCCAAATAAATGCAGACACGGAGCAGCGCCATGCAAGTACTTTAGCCTTTTCTTTCCCATCTGTGACATCTGCAGCCTCAATAACCTTCCCAGAGCGAGTTTTCCCCATTTTATGTGTCGTTAAAACAATACTGTTTGTTAGGTAACAGCCGAGAGGCTACTCCCCAAGGCCTGCTGAATGATGTTCCCTGTAGTGTGTTAGGTCAAAAAGAAATACACCACTTTAAATAAAGTCAAATAAAGGAAAATTCAAGACCAAATTAATGGTCAACCGATATGGGTTTTTCTGTGGCCGATGCTAATATGTAGAGAACAGGGCGACTGATAAAAAGCCGATATCAAAACAAAGAAAAGTCATGTAGAATTCCTTAACTCCATGCACATTATTATATTAATCTAAACAACACTTTTAGATGGATCATTCTATTTATTAATGAAACCAAAATACATTGGTTTCAGAATGTGACAGGTATTTAAGGCAGAGTGGGAACAGTATGTCAGAAGCAATGCCATTCAACTGCATTATTATAACATAATATATATATATTTATCTATAGACCAAAAATTCATAAAACGCAAAATAAGTATAGAATTGGGCTGAAAACCAAGATCCAAACTTCACCTTTTTCTCAGTTTCTCTCTCGCTTTCTCTAATGAACTCAATTACTCACCCACCAGAGCAGAAGATTACTGTTCTACTATACACACACACACAAATACCCGAGTTATTCTTCGAGTCGGTGTGAGAAAGATAGTGTGCGTATTCAGAGAGTGTGTTATGAAAGTGTTTACTGGGGTTAAAACACACCAGATGTCACATTTTAGGCAGTGTAAGTAAGCACTGACCTCTGTCCCCCTCTGGCGACCAGCACTGATTACAGCAGCACGGTTGCTTTTCCTGTCTCACTCTCTGCTACTGCGCACATCCACTGGCTCCACTCAGGGGACGTTTCATCAGCACATAAATTCATATTTCAATTTAACTTAATTCACTAAATGAGCCACAGCTAGCGGTGACAACTAGTATCAGCACCTAATATAGTGTCTCAACATCTGGGCCCATTATGACCGAGGATGTCAAACTCAACGCTCAGTCAAATTAACTCTTAGATGTTTGTTTTGGGTGAACCGCTTGAAGGTGCTCAGTGATCTCATGCTATTAGCACTGATGCCATGCTGTAACATTTCATGTAACGGCTAAAAGTTGCTAAAAACTCACTCCTGTTGTTATCAGTCCTGTTACAAAAAATGTCTTCCATTTAGAAACCATGGTGTGAGATTGACCATCATACATTTTGAATTGTGAAACGTGCGTTATTAGATACAGTGCGGTGCTGAAAAAAGATAAAGAATGACGTGTAATTTTGAACATTTACAACATGCCAATGGCATCGGCTTATATGGAATGCTTCCGTGCTATAACCCTCAATCAGTGAGGAACTGGGCACGCGTACACAACCTTCATTTCCACTGCCAGTTACCCATAAATGGACAAAGAAACAACACCGCATTATGCAATACCTTGACAAAAGGACAAAATGTTTACTTCATGTATTGTATTTTTTAATCTGCCTCATTTTGTCATGAACAGAATGAAGACAATATGTAACGCATTCCACTGCATTATGTGGTTATTACAAAATACAGTGGTTATACTTTTTTATGTAATATCAATATACTAATAACCAACCAAAATGGATGTCTTCATCTGTACATTACATTTTTAACCTAAATTAAACTTGCTAAATATTAAATTTGACTCTATAAGCTGTGCTCCCCTGTTGGTGTTATAGTAAACTCTGCTCTTAGTCTAAATAGCCACATAAATACAGCAAACACAGCAACAACTCAGGGACTGCATGTCATATTTCGGACCGGGAACAAACTACCTTCGGGCTTTTATTTCCAGCAGGGTGGACTGTTTGAAAGAGCTTCAGCTTATTCAAAATTCAGTTCATTAAAAACTGCGACTCCCATATTGTGTAACAGCCGTCACAATGTGCAATCATTTATTAGAAAATGTGGGAAAATGTATTGGTTTCAGGCAGTTATGAAAGGTGAAAATGTATTAAATTTTGTCAAGTTACTACGTAATGTGATGTTTCAATGACATTTCTAACCAAGGATCTTTGAGGACAGGTACATTTTCTTTCAAAAGAGTTCTACTATACCATTGGTTCTGAGGAATTGTTTTATTTGAATCGTCAAATCCACAAAACCTCCAAACAGTTCCTTAACAACCTGAGTTGCTGAACATCAGAATGTTAGCATAATCACACAATGTGATATCTTATCGAGTTTCTTCATTCATCCATTTATTATGTCACTATAGATACAATTAGATGTGCTTATTAACAAGATCTTCATGGTGGACTACAACCATTTTTCTCATTAGAAACACTTGAAACAAGCCAGAACCTGCTTCCTTTAGACTCAGTGTGGAGTACATATAGTATTTGACTTTACTTCATGCACAATGATCATTTACAGTTCAATCATTTACATTTAACGCTGCAGATGACCTATACATGAGTAAATTATGTATTGGGTTTCAAATGATAGATCAATATCCATTTTTTTTTCTTAGTAAAATCTAAAAAGTTAAGGAGATCAATAATATATCAAGAGAAAATGAATCATTAAAAACATTGTATTTACCCATGTATGCCTGTTACTGAGCCTTTAAAAACATTTTCTTAAAACAAATGAAAGAATATGTTTAAGCTGAGAGAATATTATAACCAGTTTCCAATAAAAAAAATGACACAAGAAAGAAGGCAGGTAGCTGTGCTACAATCAAGAAAAATAACACCTGAGTAAAAAAACAAATAAAAAAAAAACCTGAAAGAAATCAATATATTCATTATTCACTGGAAGGTTTCTGATGAAAATAAAACCTTACTTATTACCCTACCCGCCTAATAGCAGTGTTGCAAACATAAACTGTGGGCTATAAGTTGGAGGTTACAGGAACTGTGATGAATACAAATGCAGATGCCACTGTTCTGATTCCATAAGAACTTCTTTTAACTCAGACTGTGTGCATGCAGTGGTGTGATTACAGCTGTGTGACACACTGACAGTATTCCTAAAAAGATTGAAAAAATTGCAATATATCGCCTTGCTTACAGTATTGCAATATATGGCAATATATTGAATGGTTACCCCTGTGTTGTGATATGTATTGCCAGATTCTTGCCAATACACAGTCCCACTATCTCAGCACCTTTTTATGATATGAATGTTTTGTTGGCTTATGAAGTTCAGGGGGAGTTAATGCGAGGCTTCGGCAGTCTGAGTTAAACAAATCAAGCTTTTCTTTTGGGTACAAAATTCCCTCTGTATGTTTTCACAGATTATCTTTTTTTTGCTGAGCTGGGGTGAAGGGGTTGTAGTCACCAAAACAACAGTAATAAACACACACGAGCCCCAGCACGAAGAGACCTAGTTAAGGAATGATTACAGCAACCAACAACTCTCTCAAATGACATCTGAGTACTGTAGGGAAACGGATTGAAAAGTCTGAACCCATGCTTTAGAGGGGTAAATCCAACACATCAACTGTAGAACTGTGTGAAATCAAAGTTTCTAGACAAATACAGTATGAGCAAGTTCAGTATCAGTTGTTCATGTTTTTTTTTTTTTAAAGTATAGTTTTTGGGTTTTTATTGCCTTTATTATGGTGACAGCTGAAGACAGACAGGAAAGGGGGGCAGAGAGAGAGGGTATGACACGCCAGCAAGGCCGGCAGGTCGGTACTCGAACCCCTGGCCGCTGCTAACGCCCACAGGACTCAGGGCTCAAATACAATGGTTGCCAGCTCTACCCACAGAGATATCATGTTTTACGCATGATGCAAGATTAATTCAAAACCAGAGGAGCCCATTACATTTAAAATAAGCTTAGTGGGAGGTATGTCAATACATATTTTATTTTATAAAATAAAATATGGACCATAGTGCTGTATAGGTGACATACAATACTTTACAATACAATATTTTAGACAATTTTAACACATGTAGTACCAAAAAGCACAGTTCCCAGAAAAGGAACACAACATTTAAATGATCATGTAGATGAAACAAAGGAAACTAACTATATTTGAGTGTGTAACACTGAACTGATCAGTGTTGAGCCAAGTGTTGCCCTCAGTCTTCAGTCCTGCTGGAAGAAACTGGCTTAATAAGCATCTCTTCATTTACTTCCGCTGCTCTCACCAACACACTTCTCCCTGTTGTGGATTTTCAAATGTCGTGTCAGATTTCTTTTATCTGCAAACCCTTTACTACAAACCGAACAACTAAATGGTTTCTCCCCCGTGTGGACAGGCAAGTGTCGTTTCAGAGTTCCCCCGTCTCGAAATCCTTTACCACAAACCGAACAACTAAATGGTTTCTCCTCCATGTGGACAGTCAAGTGTTGCGTCAGGTACTCCTTTCTCGAAAATGTCTTCTCACAAACCGTACATCCAAAGGGTTTATCCGCAGTGTGCATTCTCATGTGCGCGGACAAATTGCTGCTGAAACTGAAACTTGCTTTACAAACTGAGCATGTGAAAGGTTTTTCTCCCGTGTGAACTCGTATGTGTGAAGTCAAACCCGAGCTGTGAGCGAATCTTCTGTCGCAGAAAGGACAACTGAAGGGTTTCTCTCCCGTGTGGACTCTCATGTGCTCCACCAGATTTCCGCTCTGTTGAAAGGTTTTCTTACACACCGAGCAGCTGAAACGTTTTCCTTCTGAGTGAAGTCTCATATGAGCCGTTAAGGAGTACTTCCTGGAGTATTTGCTACCGCAGATTGAGCAACTAAATGGTTTCACTCCTGTCTGTTGCTGCGCACATTCAGAGGGGTTATCAGGTGCTTCATCGTTTTGCAGACGGTTTAACTTCGACTCAGATTTCCTGATCTCCTCCCAATCGAAACTACTGTCACTGTCGTCAGTCTCAGCTTCAGAGGAGTTTGACGTTTTATCATGAGTCGCTGGTAGTAAATGAGCATCTGGATTGAAGTCCCTGGCTAGTACTGATCCTCCACAGTCCTCTCCATCAGCTTCTGTTTTAAAATGCAAATGCTCTGCATCTCCGTTCTCTTCACTTTGGATTGGATGAAACTGTAAGGACAGAGGGTTCTCTTCATCATCTTCTTCACTCTTCACAGGGACAGGAGCCTCCTCCTCCAGCCCTCGAAGCTGCTCTCCCTCCTGAATGGTCCACAGTTCCTCCTGTTCCTGTTTAATATGTAGCAGCCCTGGTAGATTCTCCTGGTCCAGACTGGGGTTCTCTTCCTGCTCATAGAGAGGTTCTTCTTTAATCACCAACAGCAGCTGGCCGTCTGTGGAGAGTAATGAGATGCATACATGCATGTTAGAAAACTGTAATTGACACATGAACATATCATGCATGTATAAAAACCTGTTTCTGTCTGGACTTGAACTATTGCTCATCAGCCCTTGCAGCACAGTAATGGACTTCCACCTGCTTTCTATGGGCGAGATCGCTCCGGTCGATGCGTGCTCAAGTGACTGTGGACCGGTGTTTATTGTGTTTTGGGGACAATTAATATTACTTAAATCACAATATAGTCAAGTGCAATATCCAAAGCACAGAAGCTGCAGTTTTTTGATAAAAGGTCAAATGTGTGACAGCATTATAATGGGGCACTGGAGTGCTGGAGAGACGCCCTGGCCAACAACTCTTGATCTCCAGATTTAAGAGTGTTTGTTTGGTACAGATCCTGAAATCCTTGTTTTCTTTCATCATTCCCACACTAACTGACAATCATATTGCAATATCTGTCAAAATAATTATAATAAGATAAGCCCTAGTGGACATGAAACTATAAGCTGGCACATACTGTTCTTACTGGTTAAATAGCTGTTATTGCTCGACCATAAAGCCATACATTAGCACTGGAGAGCACAAGGCACGGTGCACTGCTGAGCCTGTGTCACTTTGCTTCGCTATTACACTCTGAAATATGGGACCAATTTGTGTTTTACACTGTATTTTTGTAGTCATACATTATTTGTTCAAATTCACCATTTGCATTACATTGTGATTATTGCATGAGCATTTTTCCACATTTACGTTTAGACAATAGAGGTCAGCATAAGCCAGCTAATGGTACATCTGTTCCCCACTCTACCCCTTGCACAGTATGTTGGTGTGGAGAGGCCCGAACCTTTCATTGCATTTTCTGTATCTTTATTACATATTTCTGTTTATTACATTTGTTATTTGTATCCCCAGATACAATTAAAGCTGCAGTAGGCACCTTTTATAAATAACTACTTTTTGTCATATCTGCTGAAACTTTCACTGTATTACTTTCACCAGCTCCTAAGGGGATTTACAAGAATCCACATGTTTTTATAAAAGTTACCTAGTGCAGCTTCAGGTAAAGAGTCCTGTACTACAAAACAAGCTCAACAGAAACCAGGACATCTTTTGTTATCTGGTTTATGGGCATACTTTACAAATAAAGAGCAAACTATATTAGAAACATACTTAGCCGTTAAAGTCCCCCTCCAGTCATTACAGTGTGCTGTTTGAATACTGCCAGGGTTTGACATTAGAAGAGGGTGTTCACATTCATCTGCTGAAAGTGGGAATCTGAGTTTTAAGGAGCGGGGGCATACGAGCATCATTTGTGACACCACAAACTGTAAGGAAGTCAATCCCGTTAAAGTTTGCACCATCCACTGAGAATGGACTTTACAGTGAAATTTTGATCTGAGGGAAGAAGCTGTCTTTAAGTCAGGTGGTGATGGGAAACACAGCTACCTGCGTGTCCAGTGTTAATGACTTTAGTTGGCAGATCAGACAGGCAAAGCGTTAAGCTCGAGGGGTGATTATGCGCTAATGGTTTCGGTTCGGTCTTGACGTTCGGTCTAGCCATGACGGAGTGAATGCTGTCTGGAGTTTCCTCAGCGACAAGGTGATACTCTTTGGTTATGTCCGTCATCAAAAGTTGTAAGTTAAGTCAAATAAAGGACCAGTGAGCAGAACTAGTGGCGTCTCGGTGGAATTATTGCAGAGTGCAGACTGCAGCTCCTTCGCTTCACCCTCCCCTTCCAAGAGCAAAAGACAAACTATGGCGGCCGCAAAACGAACAAAAAACTGAATGTTGTATTGCCACGTGTGAAAAAGTAATGTCCCACTGCAGAAATTCATTTTCTTGGCAATGCTGTGTAACTCTGATTAGTCCCCAGCAGCCACCAGGTAAATGCTTCTTAATAAAAGGAGGGTATGTTAAAGTATATGGGATTTATTGTTTGGTTCTTGACTCATCCACTAC